AATGCCGAGTTTGAAACGGTGCAAATTCGGCAACTCGGCGAGTGATGACGACGACGGCGGAGGCACGGCGGTGGCTCGGAAGAAGAGAAAGGTAAACTTGGGTTGTTACTATCCACTCAACCTTCTCGGAGTGGTTGCCGCCGGGATTGTTCCGGTGAACCTCAATGGGGGCATTCGCAGTCCCAGAGAGAAGGAATTCGCTGCTTCGTGGTGCACCGAAGTTTCGTGCTCTCCCGGCGAGGTTGAGTCAAAGTCCAATGGAAGACCGGATTCCGGCCGTGGGAGTGTCCGGGCGGCTGAGGTTTCGCGTCCTCCGCTTGTTCGAACATCGAGGGGACGAGTTCAGGTACTTCCTTCTCGGTTTAACGACTCTGTTATTGAGAATTGGAGGAAGGAGAGCAAAACGAGTAGTGTTCAGGATTATGAGGAAGAAGCAGAATGCAGAAAGGTGAAGCCTAGTTTTCGGGTTCCAAAAGCTAGTAACCATGTGTTGAAAAGTAAGCACCCCAAAGAAAAATCTGGTCGTAGCGACCACAAGTATAGTGAATTGTGTGAAGAAGAGGAGGATGATGACTGTGAACAGGGCGTTGGATACAACAGTTCTTACATGAAGAAGTATATGAGTTCACGTAGCACGCTTACTTCCATTAACGAGCAAAAGTTCATCGAAGATGAACCACGTCTTCCTGTTGAGAGATTGCAGGAAGATGAGAACCATACGAAGAAAGATGGGATTTATGGGCCGGAGGACTTCTATTCGGGTGACTTGGTTTGGGCAAAATCGGGGACAAAAGAGCCATTTTGGCCTGCCATTGTTATTGATCCAATGACACAAGCACCCGAGCTTGTTTTGCGTGCTTGTGTACCAGATGCAGCCTGTGTAATGTTCTTTGGTCACTCTGGGAATGAGAACGAAAGGGTATGGGAAGCAAAATCGATTTCTATTTGGGGAATGTTGTTTACTGTATAAATCTTGCTTTCTTTTAGGGTCTTAAAAGATGTTAAGAGTTTGATATATGGTTTAACTCTGATTATGTAAGCAGGATTATGCATGGGTGAGAAGGGGGATGATCTTCCCTTTCGTGGATTATGTAGGCAGGTGGGTTGCTAATATTTATTTTTCCTAGATAATTCCTGTGGATACACGCTCAACAGGTGCTTATTCATCAGGTTCCAAGATCAGTCTGAATTGCATGGATGCAACCCTCCTGATTTTCAGATGGCATTGGAAGAAGCGTTTTTGGCAGAACAAGGATTCACAGAGAAGTTGATGCAGGATATTAACATGGCTGCTGGTAACCCAACTTTTGACGATTCCATCTATAGATGGGTTCAAGAGGCCACAGGTTCAAACCAGGATCTTGACTTTCACACTTCTAACCAGGCAAATTTTCTATCTGCAAACCCTTTTTGTATTTGGTTTTCTTTTTCTAGCATGTTGTAATGTGACCTTCATTCTTTGCTTATATAATTCTCTTTTAATTCTACGTTTTGCAGGACATATTCAAGAAATACAGAGATCCACAAGCCTGTGAAGGATGTGGAACGATTCTTTCTTTTAAGGTGGCAAAACAAATAAAAGCTCTGATTCCTGGAGATCAGTTATTGTGTAAAACATGTTCTAGGGTATGTATAATTGCATTGTGGTCCTTGTTGCCTTATAATTTAAAGCTTCAGTTTCAAATGAGTTGAATGATTATATATCTGTTGGTTTTTGCAGTTGACAAAATCCAAGCACTATTGCGGTATATGCAAGAAGATAGAGAATCATTTGGACAGTCAAAGCTGGGTGAGAAAATTAACAAATTATGTTCTGCTTTTCATGTTTAGTCTTTTCTTCTTCTCTCATATATTTTTTTGTTATAATTCACTGTCTGATCTGTCTGGTATATCAGGTGCGTTGCGATGGCTGTAAGGTTTGGGTACATGCAACGTGTGACCACATATCACGCAACCATTTTAAGGTACTTTCATTTTGTTCCTATAAAGATTGTAGTCTTATCTCCATGCATGTATGAGTATGGGAAGTAAATTCAAAACTTCTGACCGGACCCCGGTTCATAATTTTCATTTGATCATTTGAAGGATTTGGAGGGAACAGATTACTATTGCCCTACCTGCAGAGCAAAATTTAACTTCGAACTATCCGATTCAGAAAAAAGAGACTCAAAATCCAAGTAGGCCTTTTCTTTCCCCTTTTATCGGAGACTCTTTTGAAAGTTAAAAATAGTTCTCTTGTGATTACCAAACTCCTAAATCTGAGTTTTCTCATACAGACTTGGCAAAAGCAGTGGCCGTATGGTGCTTCCTGACAAGGTTGTCGTTATCTGCTCTGGAGTGGAAGGCATATATTTTCCAAGCCTTCATTTGTAAGCAGAAACCAATTCCATGATAGTTTTCCCCCTTAAACATTCCTTTCTTCTGTCTCAAATTCACTTCTAGAACTAAGGCGAAGCAAGAATTGTTCGAGCTATAACTACTTTGCTTCTCTGGTTTTTCCACTGAAAAGATCCACAGACATTATTTTTACTCCATTTGGTTTTTCTCCAGAGTTGTATGTAAGTGTGGTTTATGCGGGCCGGAAAGGAAAGCACTTAGTGAATGGGAAAGGCATACCGGTTCAAAAGCAAGAAACTGGAAGACCAGTGTGAAAGTTAAAAGCTCCAAGCTACCACTTGAAGAATGGGTTTGTACAATTCTTCTTCTTCTGTCTTTCGGGCATATTGGCATCTTTCATTGGAGTTTACAGAAGTAATTGCCTTGATTTATAAGCTCAAACCATACCCTTACTCCACAGATGTTGAAAGTAGCAGAGTTTCATGCGAATGCCACTGCAGAGAAACCCCCTAGAAGACCTTCTGTAAAGGAGAGAAAGCAACGATTGCTTGCATTTCTGAGAGGTATCGAGGAAATGGAATATGATTGCTTTAGAAGCCTCATCTCATCTGCCTTTTGGTGTGCTTATGTTGACTTGCTCTTTGATTGTTGGCAGAGAAGTATGAGCCCGTCAATGCAAGGTGGACGACAGAGCGATGTGCAGTTTGCAGATGGGTTGAAGACTGGGACTATAACAAGATCATTATCTGCAACAGGTTCTGTTTATATGAGCTATCTTTGCTCAATTTTGTTTGGTAAAACCGTAGGTTAGGAATAAAAACCGAATATTTTGTTCATCTAATCAAATCTTTGAATTTTATATTGAAATTTGCATTTGGGCTGTATTTTTGTCATGAAAGAAACACCAACCTTTAGCTCACACTGCAGTTTGTGTAAACTAGAAGTTCACTGCTAGTACTAGTTTGTCTAGATAAAGATCATTGAGCAAAAACTTTCCCATTTTATTATTGTCAGTCCTATTACTCTTCAACCAACATTGTTGTTCTCATGATATATGTTCTGGCGACATATTGAACTTGTTAAGCATTATCTAAATACTATCATGTCTGTTTGCCAATTTTGCCCTGCAGATGTCAGATAGCAGTCCATCAAGAATGCTACGGGGCAAGAAATGTTCATGATTTCACATCATGGGTCTGCAAAGCATGCGAGACACCTGATATTAAGCGGGAATGTTGTCTCTGTCCTGTAAAAGGTATGTATTTCTATTGTCCAGTTCTTCAATTATTTCCATGGAACAACATATGTTTTGAGGTGGTCTTACCCTCTTTGTTACACTGCTTTGAACACTGCAACTGCAGAAGAGTTTTTATCTGGAATCTAATGCCTTTCCGGGTGGCAAATGGTTTTACGAAACCTATTCTGCTACTTCTTTTCTTTAAAGATATGTCCTCATTGACTATGTGGTGTCTTTTCACTTCATCTGATTTTCGTGGCTATCTATGTTCTGACGACGATAGGAGGTGCTTTGAAGCCAACTGATGTGGAGACACTGTGGGTTCATGTGACGTGTGCTTGGTTTCAGCCCGAAGTATGTTTTGCAAGCGATGAGAAAATGGAACCGGCTGTGGGGATTCTGAGTATTCCATCGAGTAATTTTGTGAAGGTGAAAAATCGTAATTTTAATGGCAACTGATTGTGCGTCATATTTTGCTTATTCTGTTCTTTCTAGTTGGTCCATAGAACCACTCTCTTTTCCTGTGAGATGTTGATGAGAAATGGTTTAACTTGCTTGTTTCGGAAAATTTTGTTTGAGCAAAACTAAAATGGGATGAAACCTTCCTTGGTTTGTGTGGATTTCAGATTTGTGTGATATGCAAACAAATACACGGATCGTGCACTCAGTGTTGTAGATGCTCTACTTACTACCATGCCATGTGTGCCTCCAGGGCTGGTTATAGGATGGAGGTAAGCCATATCTTCGGACCTTTCCTCAATCCAGTTGAAGTTTCTGTTTATTTCATCTGGTCATGGAACCAAAATGCTGTAAATCTTATGAATCGCAACTGAGGTTAGATAGGCATTACTCTCATTAAGTGCCTTCAGCTGGAAATTTTTTTTTCTGGTCATTAAATGTTTCTGTTGACATTTCATTTCACTACTATTGTGAATTCCTTTTCAATATAGTTGCATTGTTTGGAGAAAAATGGTAGACAGATAACGAGGATGGTGTCATACTGCTCTTATCACAGGTAAACTTTCTGCATATCGGGATTATGATACCTTTTTTGTTGGTGGTTGGTTGTGATTTTGTTCCTCCTGTTCTTGTTTTTTGGTGTGCAGGGCTCCAAACCCGGACACAGTGTTAATTATACAAACTCCTTCAGGAGTCTTCTCGGCCAAAAGCCTCGTTCAAAACAAAAAGAAAGGTGGTTCAAGACTTATTTCATCAAACAGATTCGAGGCTGAAGAATCACCAGAAGAAGATACCATAATATGTGACTCGTTTTCAGCTGCCCGTTGTCGAATATTTAAAAGAAAGATCAATAGCAAGAAGGTATTTTTACGTGTTTGTAAACAAAAAAATCTATTTATGCATAGGTTATCCCTCGTGATCATCCGTTTGATCTTTGTGTGTGTGTCTGTGTGGTAGAGGACGGAAGAAGAAGCCATCCCTCTCCACGTTAGGGGACTGAGCCATCATCCTTCAGAAGCGATACAAACACTGAACACATTCAGGGTAAGAAAGTCTTTCTTAAATGCCTGTAATGCAATTACGTTTTTGGGTACTAAACCTTATTATTATTTCGTGACACTTTTTTTGGTTAAATAATGTGTAGCACGTGGCAGAAGAACCCGAATCATTTTCGTCTTTCAGAGAACGGCTTAACTACTTGCAGGCAGGCATTCCAGACCAGATGCTTTTAAAGAGAGTGTGGATATGTAGAGAACAACTCTGACAAGTATTTGTTTCTTGTGACAGAGGACAGAAATGGATCGGGTATGCTATGGGCGATCTGGGATACACGGGTGGGGCCTCTTTGCAAGAAGGAATATACAAGAGGGAGAAATGGTAGGCAAAGAGAGATCCATAGATATGTTTATAAGTTGCATCTTTTGTGTATGCATATGTATGTTTATGTGTGTGTATTTCAGGTACTTGAATACAGAGGGGAACAGGTGAGAAGAAGCATTGCAGACCTAAGGGAAGCACGTTATCGTAGAGAAGGGAAAGATTGTTATGTGAGTCAAGGAGGAGACTTTTTGATGTTTTCCCCTCTCTCTCCTTATGTAAAGTCTGTCTCTCTCTTTATCTCTTTCAATGGTTGGTTATGTACATTTCCATGTGTGGCAGCTCTTCAAGATCAGTGAGGAAGTAGTGGTGGACGCAACAGATAAAGGGAACATAGCTAGACTTATCAACCATTCGGTAATGCCAAATAGAAATAAATGATGGGTTCAGTTCAGTTGTTTTTTTTTTCTAGAGGAGTTTTGGATTGATATATATATATATATATTGATTTGGGGTGGCAGTGCATGCCGAATTGCTACGCGAGGATAATGAGCGTAGGAGTTGATGATGAAAGCCGGATCGTACTCATCGCTAAGACCACCGTCTCTACTGGCGAAGAGCTAACGTTGTTCCCCAAACTCCCCCTCCTCCCCATTATATGTATAGTATTATTGACAAAAACTCTTCTTTTTTTGGGTAATGGGTGGTGGTGGCAGGTATGATTACTTGTTTGATCCGAACGAGCCTGATGAATTCAAGGTGCCATGTCTCTGTAAAGCCCCCAACTGCAGGAAATTCATGAATTAGAGAGAATCTGGTGTGGCTTTCTACACACAGATGATCATTCCCTGCTGCTGCTGCTGCTGGAAGGAGGGGAGGAGGAGGAAGGCTTGTATTGTTTTCATCCGCAAGGACGTAAACTCTTTTTTCATTTTCCTTATTCCCGACCACAACAACAACAATCGTATAGGCTTTATTTCATTCTCTCTGAGGCTGATGGAACAAGAGCAGCTTCCGGTAGGGTTTTTTTAGTCTCTTACTCTGGATTTCAGTGTATAGGTCTCTCCCTCCTTTGTCACCTCTTTTTCTTTAATGTCACACCATCTTTCCTTACGCAGTCAGTACTTTACCGAACCCCCATCTCTCACAAAGTATCAGAGATCCAAACAACCCTTTTTTTTTACGTGATTTGTTTTTTTTGTTTGATTTTCATTAAAAAAAAGAGCAAAGGGGAGAACAAATAAAAAGGGGTGAGAAAGAGGAATTTTTTTTTTTGGGGAGCCAAATCAGAGTAAAACGGGAGAGAGAGGAAAAGTTTCAAGGAACGAGAAAATTGGTATCAATGGGGATGTATCCGACTTATTACTGACTCATCAGGGGATTCATGAGTTTCATCAGGACCTAATGTCTCCTCCCCTTCACCACCACCACCACCATCATCCGACTTCACTTGCTCCTGTTTATGGCTTCTCTCCTCTGTGCGGGGTTTCCTGCTTTTTCCAGCTTCCATGGCATTGGCAACAGCCCCATCAGATGAGGAGGAGGAGTTGCTTTCATGTTTGCCTACTGTCTCACCTCCCAGTTTCTCTTCCTGTGAGTCTGATGCTCTGGTACAACTCCCCTCTTCTTCCTTCCCATTCTCCCTATATGGAGGACCGACCTCCGGAAGACCCTTCATCTCAGCCCTCTGCTCCTTGTACATCTCCATAGCCGTCTGCATGTTCAATAAATCACTCCATTACTATTATTACTCTAACAAAAGATTAGTCTCAAGGCTTTCTCTTCTTGGGAAATCAACCATCATCTCATTAGGCTTAAGCCTCAGAAGACAAAAAAAAAAGGATTTATATTAGGGCATTCATTACCTGAAACAGTGAACTGTTTCCGGTAGGAATCAACGAGAACATTGACAAGGTGGCATAGTCATCCTTCACCAACGCTTTTCCTTCATCCTGCACTCGAAACAATGTATGGAGAGATATTAGCACATGGGAAATCATAGTGTCGAGAAAAGAATGTCTGCATACGAATTAGAACATCTGATGTCAGCACATGGATCATGGATAACATGTAAAAACACAATTCACACACAGGAAGATTGTGGGGGAGGGAGAGAATTTACCTTAAGATTTATAACCACAGCACTTCCATCGACAATTATTGGACTTTTTTCATCCATTACTAAGCTCATGCACTCGCTATGCAGCTCAGCATCGACAAGTTCTACCGATATATCAAGCTTAGAAAGGTAATAGCGGGCATAACACTCGGCATTATCTGCCGATTCTGCAATGGGATGGCCACTTGTCTCATCGGCCACAATGTTAGGAGAATTCATGGACAAGTCTTTCGATGGTGATGTTAGATTAGCCCCAGCTCCTTCAACGCTTTTTGCCCTGTTACGTTCAGAGTGATTTGTCTGGCCAGTAAGAACATCGTCATCCGCAGTTTGTCCTGGCTGCCCGTCCTTTTGGGCCACCGACGAGACATCCATGCTCGCATCCCCATTTTGGGCTTTCCATGCATCTGCACTAGATTCCCAACCCCGGTTATGCATTCGTCTGGTATGGTCCCACTCAGCTCCTCCATACATGTGTGGTTCATCCCTGCTGAATATACCGTTACTCATATCCCACCCATGCATGTGAGAAGGGCTCGATCCATCCATCATATTTTGCCAACCGAGTGGACGCAGGTGACCAGAGAACCTCTCGGCATCAGTAATGTGATAAGGTATTCCAGAATGACTCATTTCCATTGAAGGTCTGACACCAAAGAGAGACGGAGATGGGAATTGTGGCATCATAGATTGAAAACCCCCATGAGGTGGACCATGTGGAAATGGAATAAATCCGTTTGGGACTGGGGAAGGCCAGTTTGGAGTGCCCCTCCATGCATTCCCTTGGCCTCTTCCCATATTCAAATCACCACCCCTCTTGTAACGCCCACCGATATTGACCCTGTTATCCTCTTCATGCGAGCCCACTATAGGGCTGCCCATTCCACCCTTAGATTCAGGACGTGGTGGGAAGGATGAGTTGTTTAGGTGGGCTTTATAACCAAAGGATAATTCTGCCTGGGATGAATCTCCAAAAGACTTCTCAGAAGGTAAGTCCCTACTCAATCTCTCTTCATGAGCTGAAAGATCTCGGGTGTGACTCCTCTGGCCTGTTTCTTCAACCTCAACGCTCCGTCTTGTACCACTTCGATTTATGTATCTACGCTCAAGGCTAGTCGAAGAGGGAGATTTTTCCATTAAGCGAGGTGAAGCTTTTGTACTGGAAGATCTTTCAACAGACAACTCACCAAAAGAACCATCCTCCATTTTTACTGTTTTCTCAGAAGCTCTATATTTCAAACCTCTCTCTGACCCTCCAGACAGATCTGCTGCGTCCCTGGAAGAGATTCCTTTCGATATCTGATCCGAAATATGCCTGTGATGAAAACATAATTGTACTCAGGACTTTCCACTACGCAGCCCAAGAAAACGAATGGCAAACAAAAACAGCAAGTACAGTTCTTGACAAGTAAAACAAACAGACTATAAGATTAAATCAATTCATATAGCAGTCCTAAGATATATCGCATGAGTAAATTTAAATTCAAGAGCACACTTCAACTCCAAATAAATAAAGAAAGCACCAATCACCACTACCCATATGGTAAAAGAACAAAATTATACCCGATATCATCTTGAGCCCCGTGAGAACTGGAGGGTTGCTCCCTGTTACTTTTAGTTTCCATGTCAGCATGAGCTACGAGGGTCCTAGATTTGTTGTCACTCAGGTCATCGTGATCATCTGGAGATCTCCTCCTTTCCCTA